GAATTGCACATAGGGTTTTTATATAGAATTGATATTAGTTATTTAATATGGATATTTATTTTTATTGTTTTTATTGTTTCGAATTTTAATTGTAAGCCACCCAAAGTCGCTCTCTGGGGAGATGGGCGGCATATAAATTAAATAAATAAATAAACTCTCACCCGTAGAATTTCACCTCTTAACCTTGTAACCAAAGCCTCTTCCAGCCTATCTACCCTTAACTTCAGCAATTACATTTTACCACTCCATGGTTGGGTGGTGTACGCAGAGGGGCTGGGGAGTCCACAGTATGTATGTGTGGGACGGGGTGTGTATCAAAACACTCAAGATGATGGTCACCTCTGCATAAGGGAAGCCCTTCCCATTTTTAACACATGTAGAAAAAGAAGCAGGGCTTCCATCATGGGGTTGTGGCACCATCTTGACTTTTTGGACCCCCTGAGAGGGGCTGCGTGGCACGGGGGGCTGTATATAGGCTTTGGGTCACAGGTTGCCCTTCCTTGTTGGGTAATACAGTAGAAATGAAAAGACAAGAGTCTGCCACTGACTCTAACCATATACTTGATGCGTCTGGGAAATTGCCTTCAGAATCAGAGCAGAGTTGTAAAGAAAGCTGCAAGTAGGAAAACGGTTTTTCATATGGAAGTGCTGGGAAATTAATACAATCCCTTAAAAACTAAGGAAGCCTAGCTTTGAGTTGTATTCTTTATTATTATTATTATTATTATTATTATTATTATTATTACTATTATTATTATTCACGCCTTCTTTTGTAGTGATTATTTCCTCATTATACAGTCATTTGTACAATGTTTTGGCAGACCTTCCCTGTTGCATAAATTAAAGTCACCGCGTCTCGTTTTTGCCTCCAGGTCGCTGATGAAAGTACCAGGAACACTTTTATTTGAGTGTCCAAGTTTGTCAACCATTAAACTGACTGATTTTTCATTATACAATTCGATAGGAGAGGCAATCTTCAGCTTGTATGCAACATTACATGGAGAGAAATACCCATCTCTGGGAAAGAACGAGAGAAAGGAGGAAAAAAATCCTTCCTGCTTATGCTTTTAAAAAATGATCTTCCTGGCACAGAGCAGCCACATGTTCCTAAGTCATCTTTGTACATGAATTGTTTTGTTAATATGCCTGCGACATTCATACTGCCACAATTCAATTTTCAGGCAAACGGATGAAAAGACATAAAGAGGCTGCAAAAATTTGCTTTTAACAACTTTTTGATGGGCTTTGGAAATAAGAAGCTAACTCAGGGTTCCTGGTGAAGCAATCTGCATACATGCTGATGCATGCACACAGGTATGTAAGAATGGTGTGCATGCGTGCAAATGGAGAGGCTGCTTCCTCGTCTGATTTCCTGTGAAATGCAGTGTAAAATTTAGAAGATCAGTAGATGATTACTTATGAAATTGGCAGGCCGCTGAATCATCCTGACTCCTGGAGGCTTGCCACAAAATAAAGGACAAGAATTTCATACGGACGAGCCCACGGATGCCAGGAGCTTCTTCAAAAAGGTAGTTCAGTTCCTTTCAGACACAAATACTCTTCTGAAATGCATTTATTCATGGCCATGATTTATGCAGATGGATGAAGTTACTTGACTACTGTCTTAAGATTCATCCACTGAGGTTCCAATCCTTTACCCCAGTGTTCCTCAACCTTGGGAACTTTAAGAGGTGTGGACTTCAACTCCCAGAATTCCTCAGCCATGCTGGCTGGGGAATTCTGGGAGTTAAAGTCCACACTTCAACTTCTTAACACTTCAACTTCTAAAAGTTCCCAAGGTTGAGGAACACTGCTTTACACACTCTGAGCAAGCAGACATCTACATTTCTGAGTAGGCTTCTATAACTGAAGGCCATAAGTGGATGGAAGGTGAGAAGAAGACCTCTTTCCATCATTCCCTTTCTCTACTACCTCCTCTCTTTCTGTCCTTTTTACTTCCCTTTGTACAATCTTTTTCTGCTGTCACCCCTTTGTATTTCTCCTCACTGTTGGATCCTTTCTCTTTTCTTCCTACCCCCTTCTCTCCCATGCCCTTCTCAGGGAGCTTCTAAGGCAAATACAAATCATGGTACTAAATATGAATTGTTTACTTACGGACTTGGGAAATTAGGTGAAGGATTGCTCAGGACAATCACCCTTTAAGGACGCATAGAGCAAGCATCATATGGAGGTTGTATCTCTCTTGCCTTCTCTTGCTTCAGCCCCAAAGATGGTAATACCACAGCTGGTGACACTGCCTCCCTTAAGCCAAGGTGTGTGGAGGCCCTCTACAAGACGTTTGCTCATAAATACAGTTTTTATTTTAGAAGTATTGCTGGAAAGGATTCATTTCTACTGGATCGCTTCAGCAGCAGGGGAATAAAAAGGTGTGAATATTGAATGAACTTCAACAGGCTTGAAGGATAACACAGGCGCTCGTTAAAAAATTCAATTAACCTTATCTTTCTTTAACATGATTAATTATCCTACAGATAAATGACTCCTTTAAAAAAAAAGTATCATCTTTTGAGCAGAACCTTTCCAACATGCTTTGCTTGTCCTCCTTTCTCTTGCCAAGCCAAGCTGTACTTTTTAGCATATTTATATATATATATGAAATTCGGAAGGTTGGGGGGGAAATCCACAATGGTTTTAGTACGTTATTTTTGGAGCAATCCAAAACTATCCAGTTCTCATTTGGAAGTAGTTGTACAGCATACCGTTGGGTGCTCAATTAGCACAGTGAAAGCATATTTGAAAAGTTCATCTGACAAGTGGAGAAGACATGAAAAGAGTTTGTGGATGCTTTCTGGAGTGTCAGATTGAAACTTTGGGGGTTTGCTTTCAAAATCTTGTCAAACAGTAGGGGATTTAACCTTTTGGAAACTGCATAATCCTTAGGTGGCCAACTGTTCTTGTTGTGCATCCCATTTCCAGCTAGACCCTAATTTTTTTTCCTTCCAGATTAGAGCAGAGATAGAACAAATTTGGGGATGGGAAGGAGAGAGAGAGATTAAGAGATGCTCCCTCACCAGCAGCTATAAGGGAAGACATATAGGGAAGGGAAGGGTTCTGGGTTCTAGCTAGAAAATTGGAGAAACCTTCAAGAGTTCTTCTTGGCCTTCTTCTTGAGTTCCTATTTGGGTAACCAATCCTAAGCAAGTGTAACTCATGTATGTTGCTTCCCTGCTTCTCCTTATGTCCCCTTTTCTCCATAGCATGTGTCAAGATCAATCAAGGGATCTGATGCAGTATCTCTGCAAGACACCTATACTTATCACAGATGGTATGTGGAAACCTATTTACTATGTACATTTATTTAAAAAATATTTGAATCCCAGCTACAAGAGTGCTAATACATTACTGGCAGACATAACGTCATATCAAACCTGAAGTCAGATGTTCCCAGAGATTTCCTCTGTCCAACATCCTCTGCACCAGCTGTTCACCCCACGTTCATGTGGACTGATAGGGAGAAGAGCCTGTTCAGAACCCCCCATTGCAGAGTTCTGTAACTGTTAGGTTTCTTTGGGGGGGGGGGATGAAGGCTAATGTCTTTCCAAGAAGTTAATTGCAACGATTGCTCCATCATTACCAAATTCCTTCCAGCCTTCAACAGGACCCCTATGAAGGCTTTTGATGGCTATCCAATTCCCTCCTTAAAGTCTGGCAAGATGCTAGGCAGGTAGAAGTTCTGATCTTACCAGACATGGAGAAATATTATATCCAGGCACACATAAATCACACTCACGTTGAAGCTGACTGAGTCTACTTTACATGCATTACCTGTTTAATTTCTACCTGACAATTGTTTCCTAGGCATTTGAAAGAAGCCTTAAAACAAGCATTAGCAAAATAAAGCATTCATCTGCAAGCGCGATGCCTTGCAGTTTCAGAATGACTGCATTTGAAATATTCTTGTAAGCGAATTGTTAATTGTCATGTTGTAAAGCTCATTTCTAAATGAAAAAGGTCTGTAGAACACCCTTCTTGCTGAACTCTCTTGAGAACAGGCCCTTTCATTTGAATTGTTTGATAGATTTTTAAACGTTCATAGGTAATTTGATTCTATTCTTGTTTTCTGATTCATATAAAGGAACAGCTCAGGGTTTCCCTGGTTATTGCAGGCACCATGAACTCTGCAACTAGAAGAGAGAGTCAGCTTGGCCATGATTTTCTTATGGCCACACTGCTTATCAGTGATACCCTTATGTTTCTGGTGCGATGCTGAACACATTTTGTTATGTTTGAAAAAGAAATGGGCTTTTGCTATTAAACATTGACTGTCCACCAAAGGATTTTACTGCAGACTCATGATTTAGTGTCCCCGTTCAAAATGATTGCTTGATTATGGTTTTTATCAAATGGTTTGCATTTTAAACTGTGGTGTAGCGAGCTACAAAGATACTCAGCTGTTAGGTAGATTTTATACAACAGGGCTGATATTCTGCCAACTGCATTTATTCACAATATACCAGTTCTGAAATGTGTTCCTGGGTTACTTCTTAGGAGTTATTGCTTAATTCTGGACTGATTCTCCCTGATTCGATGCGCAGGACAGGAAGCACATGAAATTAATCTAGGAAATGAGGAGAGTGTGTAGAGAATGCACGCACTTATTTTTCCACTGTTTCTCTTCTAGTTCAGTCATTGAACCAGTTCAATCTTCTTTGGTTGACCAGGTTAAGGAAGATCAAGTGGAAGCTACCTAGTTATACATCTCAGAGTCCTCATTTTTCCTGTACTACTGAGGCATGCTACTTGCATGGATATACCTCAAAAAGGGGAGCAGGACTGAAAAGCAAACTTCTGCTGACTTTAATGCACCTTCCTCCATATAAATTGACATTGTGCAAAGAATCAAAATAATGCTGTTTTGTGAACCGCAAACCCCAATCAAGATTTTTTAAAAACTGTTGATTAGATTCATATATCTATCTACAGCGACAAATTTAGCAAGCAGGTGTTGGAATGTTTAAAAATGCACTCAAACCACCATGTCCAAGAAAGCTACAATATCTACTTTATTATGCAATTTTACTGAGTTTATCACAGTGAGTTTTGAAGCCACTTCAGAGATATTCTGTACAGCAAGCCAAACCGCATCATGTAATATTGAAATGTGTTCCTTTCAGTAAGAAGAATTTGTGCTATATCCCTGACAACAGAACACAGACGTTCCCAACAAGAGGTGATGGGAGGAGATGCGCGGGAATGGTTTGTCCTTCTTTTGAAAACAAACCAAATGACATACGGCGCTACTATTGACTTTGGCAAACTGGAAATCCATGGAAGATTGGAAAGTCTCATTTACAAAATATTAACATGGATTTCCGGGAGAAATGAGTCAAGCATGTAGTACTTTTCAACCCATGACTGGAAGGCCCTTCATATTCCCAGTTCAATTCAGTCTATTAAGCAACTCGGCAAAGGTCCCACCCAAATTCCTGGAGTTACACATGATGCATGACAACTGTTCAAACTCTGCTCAGAATTGGGAGCCATGTGGCTTCAATTCTGGCCTTGTCGCTGTCTCATTCCTCAGGAGGTTCTTCTTTAAGGCTCTTCTCAGACACATTCTCTGTCTTGTCTTCTGATGGATTACTGAATCCAGGATCTTCTGGCTGAGTTCCATCTCCATCATAGATTATATCTTCTGGATTTGGAGGTGGGGGGCAGAATTCTTCATTGGGGAACATTTCTTGAAAGATGGCTTCAGCCTGTTGGAAAACCGATATATTAGTTTAGAAGTCTTGGGGGCTTCCTGGCAATCTTTCATTTTATGTGGGTCCCTTCCTGTGTAATATTGTTACCTTAGCAAACGTAGGTTTGAGAACAGATGGTGGCCAACATACTTTAGCAGCTAGATATGCTAGATACTTTGGCCTATTTCCTCCCTCCCTCCCTCCCTCCCTCCCTCATATCATCACCTCTTTCTAATACTTCATGTTCTCTCTCAGGCAGCCAAGCTGTCAGGATACTTTTTACCTGAATACATTGTCTGCAGAAGACTTTGAAGTTAGAACAAGGGTCACATTTGCCCTTGGGCTATAAGTAGCTCACCTCTGTGTTAAAAAGACAGGGAACAAGGTAAAGAAGTATGAACACAATGCCATAGGCCAGAATCCTTTGAATTCAATTGATATCAAAAGAAGGAGAGCCAAGGGGGAGTTTTTACTTTTCCCCACAACATAACATGGATAGTTTTCATCCTAGAATCTGGCTAGCAACAGATAAATAAGCTTGCAACTTCATTACTCAGTGGTTCGGTATGACCAAACAAGAAAAGTTTTCAAATTCTGAGACCAAGAACAGTCTAGCAACCATTAATTTTTAAATGACGTAGGCAAGAAGGGTATATACATACAAGACATTTTAAATGAGCTTAGTATTCAGGGTTTTTTTTTCAAATAGCTGATACCAATTTACTTTTTAAAACAGATCTAATACCACCCTGATGTCCATCTGATTTTTTTTCAAAAGCTAACCCTTAATTTTGTTTCACAAAGCAATCATCTGCCTATTAAGAGAATAAAAAATATCAAAGAGTTATGGGAAAACACACAGCTTTCATTATATTAATAAAAGGTTTGCCAAAAAAACAAGAAAGAAAGAAACTGGTTGGGTGCCATTAGATTAGAATGGAGATTCTTTCAGTGGTCACATATTATACATCATATTAACTCAGGTATTCTATTCATTTATTAGAAACTTCAAGGAATATTACAATCTTTTTGTTGCTGGAGAAATAATTTAGAAGTTGGAACACTGGGTAATATGGGTTAGGCTATTTTGAATTCACTATGATTTGGTCTGAAATCTGTGGAACTGTAAACCTAATCATTGTTTATAAAAGGTGCACATTCTTTTTCTCCCTCAGTAGATCAAATTTTTCAACATGTAAAAAGCTATGGATGTTCCACACATTGTGGGGGGATGGATAGTAACATAAGCATACAAATTTAGAGGTTCAAATCTATATTTACCCTGCAGAAGAGGACTGATGACTCTGTTCTTTAATAACAGTTCAAAGGACATTTGTTCTTTTTAACTGAGATCAAGGAAGAAGCTTAAAAACAATTATAATTTTAATGCAAGTGAGAATGTAGGTCTGGCTTTATTCAAGGTTTTAATAAGCCCCAACGTTCTTTTTTTGGCCTGGGAGAACTTGCTTGCCTTCATTGTCTATATTCCCATCTTACCCCAAAAGGTAAAAAATTACCTGTTTGACAGCACAATCATTTCCTAATGCACTGTCTGGGCCAGAGCAAACATACACGTTGGAGGGTAAACTGTCATACGAAGATCTGACAACGCTGGAGGAATCCCTCATGTTGAAATATACGGACCAGAGAACCTTAGGTTTTTGCCCTTCCCCTTCGTCTTCACCTTCTGAAACAACAAGGCAACCATCTTAGTATCCAGCTTTCAGGTGAACTGAAACTTGGAAGAATTCAGCAAAATGTGAAAGGCAAAACATTGGGAATTTTCTTTAAAGGTACAGGGCCAGCTTGGTGGGAGCACTCAAAGTTTACAGGCTTGTTAAGAAAGATTTATTTGCAAGTTGTCAGAGGAAACATTGATGGTCTTGTGAGATTTCAGCAATGCTTAGGTTTTATTTTACTTGGGACTTCTGAGGAAGAAATGGCGAACTAAAGATGGCTCCACTAAAAACAGAGGTGACAACCATGGCGGAATGAAGAGCCGATGAGTAGACTGGCTTTCATAATTCCTTTCCAGACAAGGAGAGACTGGCCACAAGTGATCAAACCAGCTGCTCCTCACGAGGAGACCACAAGACAGCGGTCTCTGGCAGGTTTAGAGCTCTGGGAGGCGAGGGAATAACCATCTTGCTCAAACCACAGTTGATGTCTTCAAAGGACACTGGGTTCACATACTTCCTTTTCTAATCACTTTTGGAAATCACTTGTTAACTGCTTTTCAGCTCTTAGGGACCTTTGGATCAGCAAGTCTGAAAACACTGGGTGAGTTTCCTTCAATCCTTAGCTAAAGAAGTTTTAAGTACAAGTTTAAGTATTTAAAAAAACTTTTGAGGGGAGAATAAACAGCAAAAGGGTGATTAGAACTTTGATTCTGGAAAGTTACAAATGGACTAAGGGTCAAGATGGATTTGAAATAAGAATTTGGAATTAATTATAAGAACCCTTCCCATGGGAAAATGCTTTTGTTTTGAATTCCTTTAAAATAACATGATAGGATGATACTTTGAAGGTTGGACACTAGAGGGAACTAGAAGGAACTAAATATTACAATTAAAGGAAAAGAACACTTAAATTTGACTAATATAGAATGGAACAAAATATTTTAATATTGGACATATTGAAGACTATTTTCGAACAATGGACCCAGAAGTTAATTTTAAGAGTATCTGTCTCTATAGATAACTGTGTTAAAAAGTTCTTACAGAAGAGGAACAAGTTTTACCTGACAAGATTCAGACTGAACTGAAAGTGGATTTAAAAATGACAGGCTACAAGAATGACATGGAAAAAGATGCTACACTGG